AAGCAGGCTCCTCTGGGCCTAAACTATAAAAAAGATTTGTTTATTTGGTAGACTTCATCGCAGTATACACAGTAACTAAATGTGGTGCCCAACAAACAAATGTGGCAGTCGTAGAATCCCTGTCGTCTAAATAAATGAGTACTTGTTTGAGTAGTTAATTTCTGGTCATTTCTGCCTTATTAGTCGTCGTCAGTCATCTGTACCAAATCCCAGGTATGGATGATCTAGGATTCCTATCCGAGTTCTTTGGTCATTAAGCGTTAAGTCAAACGCTCTGCCACTGAGCCACGGGCCCATTATTCTCTCGGTTGTGGTCGGGGATATTTGCTGTCGTAGTTTAGAGCTCCAGGCGTTGTGCGACATTTCCCCTCGACGATTAAACTTGGTCTACTTTTGAAACGTCGGACAATATAACCATGATTGTCAATTGGCCGACTGCCCTATTCACAATCCATGAGCGGCCATTCTTTTTCCTTCTCAACATTACTTAAACAAGACTTAGTTAACTCCCGAGTACGTCGAGAAGCCACAGTCGTATGTCTCGGTTTCGGCTCTGCCTTGAAATGTAACCATTTTTTCCAATAAACGTAGTTAGAACTGATCACGGGCTCATTTCAGATACAACAATCTGTGAAGTTGACGTTATGGAATTTGTAAACAACCAACCTCGACGAAAGGCAATCTTGTATGATAGGTTTAACCTACAACTTTGTGGCTTTCCAATTAAATAAGGTGGATACTGTTACAAGTTCCATTCGAGTAGCTTCGAATGGGTTTTGGGAACATTCCTGCTTTTAAAATCAAGTTTTAAGAAACCGACTCTGTATATGTGGTGAATGAACTTTAACAAACGTCAGAATTTACGTTTCAATACACAAATGGTAAAAACTGGCTGTTTAAACTATAATGATTATCGTAAGAAAGGCAAATTTGTATTTCCATTCAATTTATGTCATCTGTATCCTTGTCCCCTGCAGACTTCGTCTTCTTCGAGGCCTCCGCTTCGGCACCCTTCCAAATCCGCAAAATAGAAGAACTCAATAAGGTATACTTTTCTACTCTTCCACCCAGAACACTCGTAATTCCATTTTTTTTCAGACTTCCAGTGGAGCCGTTGAAGCAAAAGTCGTCTGTTTCTACCGGCGACAGGACCTAGCAAGCAGTTTGGTTCAACTTGCAGATGCACATCAACGTAAGTTCAATGTCCGTTATCATTTCTCCCTCTTATAGAAGAGCTCTTGAAAAACCTTAAGGAGCATGCGTCACCTGAACAGGTACATCAGGTACGAGTTGCTTCCAGTCTTTTGAAACCGCTCAACCCCCCCACCTCTAGCTTAAACATCGCGAACTCTTCCTCTCGCGTCACCTCGAAGTTCTTCCCGCAACGCACATTCGTGGCAAATGCCATGTCACCCTGCGCAGTGAAACCGAACCTTGCATGTCCTATCTTCAGAAAGAGGATGCCTTCTTCTTTCAACTCGTCTACGATCCTGTGAATAAAACTCTTCAGGCTGACAGGGGTGCTATTCGTGTCGGTGAGGAATATCAAGCTGTTGTACCCGAGAGAATTAGTAAGTTTTTTTCTGACCAGCTCTGCTTCTGTCAGATTCATTTCCGCCTTTGCTCAATTTCAGGCCATTTTTTATTTGTACATGAAATCCACGAATTACTCAATTGATTGGTTGTTTGTCAAACCCTCAGGCCGCCTGAACCTTGTTTTAGTCATCGGA